CATAAACAAGGTTAAATAACAAACATTAATAATTTATTGTTATCATAATAGATGAGAAACAGAACGTTTTATCCAATATATCTGCTAATGCTGCTTATGGTGTTATTGGTGGAAATGAAAGTTAGATAGATTGTTATACTTGAAAGAGTAATTTTAACCAATTTTTACCTAATTGGAATAGATGATATTTATAATAATCCTGCTTATGGAATCAACACTGTAATGACACAAAGTACAATAATAAAAACTAATTTTATAATTTTGATAAAATTATAGGTATTAATGAAGAACCCATAGTGTACGATGAGCCAAAAACAATGAATAATGAACAAGAGGTAACATTGCAATTATACTGTAAATTTTGTAGCCACAGCTAATTTCAATTTCATTATTTAAATCAACATTAAAAGTCTTAGTCATCACAGTGCATTTATCAACATTGCTTGACAGTATTTTTATTGGCAGGTTATTGTAATGCCAGCACATAAAGAAACATGTACACAACAGAAACAAGAAGAGTTGTGCATCTAACATAAGGACAAAATTAACCACCTCAGCATATGCATAAATTGTATTAAAATATTATTGTAAAATTGATTGTGTTGATAAAATAATTAGCCAGTACAAAAAACTCAAATTTGCTATTTTATAAATTTTTTTTTTCTCCTTTGGTTCATTTATAGTTCCTTAGTTGTTCTTCAAAACCACAATTACTATGACTTTCTCTTTTAAATCAAACAAGTATGTTCATGTGCTCCTGATCAGATCTATCAGTCATTGCATGATTTTAGACACAACACTAGTAAAATTAGGTGTGGTAAATCTAGTCTAACCATAGACCTTTATAGTCTCGCTTCCCAAAATGACTGTATTGATATAATTTATAAACATCAATTGAGGTTCTACTTTAAATTTATGTACAATGTGCACTGAAAAATGATATCAAATTTAGTAGTCATACTAAATAGTCATAAGAATAATGCTGTTGCTATTAGGAATAGCTTATATAGTAACAAAATCAGAACTGCTAACTTGTGTGGTTTTAGTTGTATTAGTGACCCATTTTCAAGCTCAGTGGCCACTTCATAAAATGAATAGCAATGTACCAATGTATGAGAATGAATGTCTAGAAGCATGTCATATGAATGAGATTATTATTGCAGTATTCATGTGACAAATACTAAAGATTGGAATTTTTATATATGGATGGTAGTCAATCAAATTTCTGAAATTTTCAAATTCAAAAAATGCAACTGGAATTAGCTCAAAATTTATATAATTTCTGTAGAACACAATCTGGCTAACCATTGCTGGTCTTGCCTACAACATTCAACCATCCATCATGTAAGTGGTAGTACCACTTACATGATGGAATGGTTGAATGTTGTAGGGTAGATCAGCAACGATAGTTGGAGACTTAATACACATGATCTAATTTGTTTCCAACATGATGGGTTGAGCTGAGTGTGGGTGCAACAATGCATACCGCAACTGAATAAAGCTACACTAATAGAATATTCATGATCAAATCCTTTACTGTGGCAAGAAACAAGAAATGGCCTTTTCCTTGGCTTATTTATTCTCTATTCTTATCCTATTATTATTGGCTGCTAATAATGAAGGAGCAACAGGAGGAGGAGTATGTACTGAAGGATTCATGGACTTGAGTCTACTAGTAGCTAAAGCAGCTACACCAGTTGGTTCACTAGCTGATAATACTTTAGCTGAGGGCAATGAAGGAAGATGGATCATTAATTCTAATACATTTAGATGTATTGATGTTACTGTAACAGAAGTTCTTCTTGGAGTTGATATCAGATCAAAATATGGCAATAGGAACAAATATCCAAGCATTGAAATATGGCAGTATGACAATGTTATTTTATCTTATTATATACTTAAAACAATTCCTATTGTACTGTCTCCTGATAATGTCACTACTAATGGATTATATCGTTATGTTCTTCCTACTCCTTTTAGTGTCAGTGGCAGTAATTATAATACTTACAGACTAGGAGTGTATCAACCTGAAGATGATTCAAGTGTTGTTAGACTTTACAATGCAACCACTAGCAATGTAGCAAGAGTTGGAAAAATAAGATCAGACTCTATTAACAGAACAAATATCATATTAAATGGTTTAGATAAAAGCATTGATTTTTCACAAGCAACTGATGTTTTTATGGTACGCCTAAAAACAGGTACATGTACATCTCATGTTGATAATGACTAATGTTTTTATTGTATTATTTAGACCCTCCGAACTGCTTTCAAAATGTTTTCACTGAAACTGAAATTAATACAAACAGTCTATCAGTTACTAGTGTAATACCAGTCAATGATACAAGAGCTTTTCCTGATATACAGTTCACATGTAATGGTATTATTACTAACTGGATAATTGGTATTACACAGCATCAGGATACAAGCAAACATTATCCTAACATTTATTTAAAACGTTCTTCTGAACTGATTCATGCACTAACTGTTGATGTTTCTGCTGCTACATCAAGTAATGGTAATGTATATAATTTTACAAGTGATATTGAAGTAGAGTATGGAGATATATTAGTAATCAATGTAACCACTAATAGCAATCCAATGTATTATCAACAATACAATGGACCATTGAATTATGAGCTTGATAGCAGTAATGGATTAATACCATTGGAACACAATGACTATCCACTAATATCAGTTGTAGTAGGTAAGTTATATCATGTTACAAGAATTATTCTTAGATTAAAAAATTTTTTAACACAACAGAAACGTCAACAATAGATGTAGATCTATTCTCCACTACACTAGTCATTGCTTCAAGTGTTATGAGTGAAGGTAATTGCATGTTCATACAGAACATGCATTTAGCACTTTTTATTACAATAAGAAATAACTTAATTTTATATTATTGCAATGACTGCTGTGTATGTACAACATTATATTCTACAGATTCATTTACTTCATCAAGCAGCTATGAAGTGTACTTAAAGACCATGGTCAAAGAATTTATTGGATCTACTAAATTTAGCATAACATCAAGTACATGTAACCTCATTTTATTAGATATTATACAATTTATTGACTGTGTCAATAGCTCCGACAATGGAAGGTACACCAGTTCAAAATACAAGCAATTCACTAATAATACTAGTAGCAGTTATTAGTACAGCAGTATTTATATTACTGGTAGTTACTATACTAGTAATATTAATAGTGAGTGTATTAGTGTGTAGGAGAAAGCAGTTTAATGGAAATGGTAATGGCACTTATATTAACAGATCTAATGATACTGAAAGAATAGCTGATGAACACCAACAGCAAGGTAAATATAAGTATTATTAGGTATGATATTGCACCTAATAATATCAACAATCACCATATTTATTTATTCATTGTTATTATAGCAACAGATGGACAGAACAACCCACCAAATATATCTGTAAATCCTGCATATGGTATTATTGGAGGAAATGAAAGTAAAGATGGGTTCTCAATATGATTCATTGCTTTTCATGCACTAGCGTCATGACCAGAAGTGCTGTATAAACCAATGGGTGTATGCGTCAATGCATCAGAATAGAAATGTTTTCTAATCTGATGCATTGACGCATGTTCCCATTGGTTTATACATATGGTTTATACAGCACTTCCAGTCATGACGGATGCACATGCGTCATACTGAGAATCCACCTTAAGACAAACACTATATAGAATAACTGCAACCAAATTGCATACAAATATCAAATCAAAACTGAAATAACGCATAAAGTATATATAAATGGATACATTGTGCCTGTATATGTGGGAAAATTTTGGGTGATTGATGGAATAGCTATTGAAGTGCCAAATTTGTTCTCAAAAATTATTAGAGAGCTAACAGGGTTTTATTTAACAGGGTTTATTTAAATAATAAAATAGGTATTGATAAAGAATTCTTTGCACATGTATATGATGAACCAAAAACAATGATTAATAAACATGAGGTAAGTATAGCACTTGCATGCAAAATTATATATATTTTTGTTGTTAGTGAACTACTATAATTTTTATACTGAAATGCTATTGTCAATAAATAATTTCATTACTTTGTTAACAATTCTTATTTTAAACAGGTTACAATAACACAGAATGAAGCATATGGACAGTTGGAAAGACAATGAATATATAGCACATTATCAACAATTAATGAGTGGAGTTTAAAACAACCATTAAGTTGATAATAATTATTGTTAAAGTCAATGGAAAACAGTAGGCACTAGTATTTACAAGTTGAGCTGCCAATTGTCTTCAGCTTTATTTTATCACAACAATTAGCTCTAGTGCACAGAAATTACCAAAAATTTTATTTCACCTCTAGGTCTACCACACTTTAGTTGGTTATTTTTTGAAGGGGCAAAATTTTTGTGAACTGAATTGCTGGGCAAATGGGTCTCACACATAAAATTCTCATAAATTTGCTAGTATTTCTTTACATTATCATACAAAGATACCTGCATGCACTCCAGCATGCAGCATGGTAGCTAGAATCTAGACCCTGTGCGGTTTAAGTTAAAATCTATTCCTATGGCACTGTCTAATAATAACAGAAAATAAAAACGTTGCTGAACATTCATTATGTTTTGAGGTTTGACCATCACCTCATGTTTGAGTGAAATGTATTATGTTGACCTTTATAAAGTAGTCTAAAAGATCATATATTTTTATCATTTTTTTCATTTTGATAACACTAAAAGAAAAATCATACTTTAAAATATTTGCTTACCATAATTATTATGAGCTGTATTTTCACTATCCTTAATTCTCTCTCTGTACCTCTCTCTTTCCATTTATTTTTATTACATTTTCTGATACATATTGATGTCATTATGCCAGCTGTGTAGACAGTTTGAACTGATCATTCTTCTAACTTCAATTATTTAAAGTTATGGCCATTTTAAAAAATGCCAAAATTCCGAAAAATACAGTCTACGGCTTTTTTCAAAAAATGGCTCTGAAATCATTCTAAATTTTAATTACATTTCCTGATATTATAATAAAAACTGATGCCGTTGTGCATCAATTGATGCCCTTGTGCTATGTAGAAAGTTTGAGCCAATTTTAACAAGTACTTTTTGAGTCATGAGTATTTTTTAAAATCAGCCAATTTTTAAAAAAGCATAGGCAATACCCCAATTTTAGCATTATTTTCAGTTTTTTAGACTATGCTACAGATTATCAAATAATAGTTCTTCTATCTACATGTACATGTGTTTATTTTTAAATAATCATTATTATGATTGCTATGACCATTAGTTGTATAGCTAAATATGACACTAATTTTTTGTAGGTTTTCATTAATTTTACTCAAGAGCAGTATGTTGAAGATTAACTATTGCATATATCAACTCATGTGTCTACACTAACTTGCTGTGTATACATATACATGATGTGCATGTATAGATCTAGTTCCAGTAATGCTCATTACAAATGTAGAAAATTTGAGCTGATTCAACTCAAATTTAAGTTGCTCCAAATGCCATCTACTGTATTGTAGTCCTTGTCAACTCATGATGTGCATGATATACATGATGTGCATGTAGTTAGTTACTGTAATTGCTGATTCACTTTTATTTGATGTTTTGCTTGATTAGATGTATAGAATTTTCTTAAAGTTAAGGTATGGTTGTTATGATAGAGTTATGTCATAGGTATGATGTTGCTCTATTATCTGTGGTTATGTAATAAGGCAATGGAAATGGGCCTTTCTTCTGCTCTTTCTCTTGCTGTCCTTATCCTATTATTATTGGTTGCTAGTAATGAAGGAGCAACAGGAGGAGGAGTATGTACTGAAGGATTCATGGACTTGAGTCTACTAGTAGCTAAAGCAGCTACACCAGTTGGTTCACTAGCTGATAATACTTTAGCTGAGGGCAATGAAGGAAGATGGATCATTGCTATTAATACATTCAATTGCAGCACTGCTTCTGTAACAGAACTTCTTCTTGGAGTTGATGTCAGATCAAAGGATGGTAATAAGAACAAGTATCCTAGCATTGAGATATGGGAATTTGACTCCACTGGGCCTTGGTATTACCTGAATCCTGTCACTATTCCTATTGTACTGTCTCCTGTTAATGTCACTACTAATGGATTATATCGTTATGTTCTTCCTACTCCTTTTAGTGTCAGTGGCAGTAATTATGATACTTACAGACTAGGAGTGTATCAACCTGAAGATGATTCAAGTGTTGTTAGACTTTACAATGCAACTGCTAGCAGCACTGAAACAGTTGGAAGAATAAGAGCAGGCTCCATTAGTGAGTCAAATATCATAATACTTGGTTCAAATAGTGAAATTAATTTAGCACAAACAACTAATGTCTTTATGATGCATCTAATAACAAGTATGGAAATCTATGTAATGTTTAAAAATTAATTTTTATTATCTAGATCCTCCGAACTGCTTTCAAAATGTATTCACTGAAACTAAAATTAATACAAACAGTCTATCAGTTACTAATGTAATACCAGTCAATGATACAAGAGCTTTTCCTGATATACAGTTCACATGTAATGGTATTATTACTAACTGGATAATTGGTATTACACAGAATCAGGATACAAGCAAACATTATCCTAACATTTATTTAAAACGTTCTTCTGAACTGATTCTTGCACTAACTATTGATGCTTCTGCTGCTACATCAAGTAATGGTAATGTATATAACTTTACAAGTGATATTGAAGTAGAGTATGGAGATATATTAGTAATCAATGTAACCATTAATAGTAATCCAATGTATTATCAACAATACAATGGACCATTGAATTATGAGCTTGATAGCAGTAATGGATTAATACCATTGGAACATAATGACTATCCACTGATATCAGTTATAGTAGGTAAGATCATAAGGAATGTACTCAATGGTGAGTTAAATTATTTTTAGAGCCATTAATTGATTTCCTAACTTCTACTATTTCTTCTACTGCTACTACAAATGCAATAATAAGTAAGCATCTACAACTACACCTACCTACTACTACTATAAAAACATTATCATACATTCTTCCATTAATGCAGCTATGCAGCTATCCAAACCTGCTGTAACAATTCAATCAACAGAAGGTATGCAAACATCTGCTGCTTCATCAATTAGTAACATTCCAATAGTTACTTTTAGTGCATTAACTAGCTCAATGATGAGTACACCAGTTAGTACATTACAAAGCACAGGGAATAATACACTAATAATAGCAGGAAGTATTAGTACAGCAGTATTTATATTACTGGTAGTTACTATACTAGCAATATTAATAGTGAGTGTATTAGTGTGTAGGAGAAGATGGAATAAAACATCAAAAGGAAATGATAATTTCAGTTTTGTTGAAAGGAAAGCTGATAAAGATCAACAATCAGATGGTACAAAAGTTAATATATGACATGTACATTTAGAATGCATAATACTATATAAATAATATAATTTAATTTGTATAGGACAAAGAATGAATAATACACTAACAACATCAACTAATCCTGCTTATGGAGTTTCTGGTGAAAGTAAGAACTTTAAAATATAGTGTATAGTCCTGCTTAATATACTGAAAGTAAAATATTAATATGTTTTATTAATAGCTTCTGGTGTATCTGCTAATCCTGCCTATGGTATTAACATTGGAGGAATAGAAAGTATGTGTATATTTATGATTAATAGTAGAGTATGTTGATGTATATGTGGTGAACTATAGGTATTGATGAAGAATTATTAGTATATGATGAACCAAGAACAATGATGTATAATAAACAAGAGGTATAAGTTAATACATTATTGTGATATTTATTCATTGCATGAGACCATTAGCTACAGGCCATATTAAATCATTTATTTAGCATCACAATTAAGAATAGGATTTTTATTTAGTTTGTCAGTAACCTACTTGCCACCATTGTTTGCATTACATTTGATTTAAACACAGTGTGAAACTTCAATCTTTTTCAAAGCTTTCATATCAATTTAACTTTGTGTCATTATTGATCACTTCAATTGGTGTAGGATGTGGTAATAAAATAATGAAGCACATGACAAGAGGAAGAGGAACATATTAATGACATACTAACAGTAATAGTAATGCACCCATCTCTGGCATATACAAGGACACCTTGACATTATTAGTCATTATTACACCATCATCATAACCTTTTAAACATAACAAATAATTTGACCTGTACAATGTTTAATGTCACCTCACAACTTGACTAATAATTTACATTTCATTTTGCATTGGAATTCATCTCTGATGACCATAATTATTGCATTTGTCATGTTCTAAACACAATGTGAAATCATTAGCAAATACTGACACATTTGACATTGATGCATCTCTGTTGAAATTATATTGCCTTCCATTTAGCTGACATATGTAATACTCATGAACAATGTTATTTTAACTGTGAAGCATATGGACAGTTCTATTCACAGGGTGTGTATGACAGTGGAGCTCAAATTATAGTTATTATGTAGATATCGGAAAACTCATCCAGCTCAGTTTTGTCCTTTGTCAGTTTGTTAATAATAAAATCATAGAAAATATCTATGCATAGATGTTCTGTGTAAGCCCACGTGATATCACGTGCATAACATTTAAGGCGTGGTTTTACAATTACAATTTTAATTAATGACATTCATGAATCATGAATAATAATTAAGAGGGAAGATAAAATAGATATCTATGGTTAAGCCATGGCTTGTTCTTCTGCTCTTTCCCTTGCTGTCCTTATCCTATTATTATTGGTTGCTAGTAATGAAGGAGCAACAGGAGGAGGAGTATGTACTGAAGGATTCATGGACTTGAGTCTACTAGTAGCTAAAGCAGCTACACCAGTTGGTTCACTAGCTGATAATACTTTAGCTGAGGGCAATGAAGGAAGATGGATCATTGCTATTAATACATTCAATTGCAGCACTGCTTCTGTAACAGAACTTCTTCTTGGAGTTGATATCAGATCAAAGGATAGCAATAGGAACAAGTATCCTAGCATTGAGATATGGGAATTAGACTCCACTGGGCCGTGGTATTACCTGAATCCTGTCATTACTCCTATTGTACTGTCTCCTGATAATGTCACTACTAATGGATTATATTGTTACGTTCTTCCTACTCCTTTTAGTGTCAGGAGCAGTGAATATGATAATTACAGACTAGGAGTGTATCAACCTGAAAATGATTCAAGTGTTGTTAGACTTTACAATGCAATCACTAGCAGCACAAAAACAGTTGGAAGAATAAGAGCAGACTCCATTAGTGAGTCACATATCATAATATTTGGTCCAAATAGTGAAATTAATTTAGCACAAACAACTAATGTCTTTATGATGCATCTAATAACAAGTATGTAAATCTATGTAATGTTTAAAAATTAATTTTTATTATCTAGATCCTCCGAACTGCTTTCAAAATGTTTTCACTGAAACTGAAATTAATACAAACAGTCTATCAGTTACTAATGTAATACCAGTCAATGATACAAGAGCTTTTCCTGATATACAGTTCACATGTAATGGTATTATTACTAACTGGATAATTGGTATTACACAGAATCAGGATACAGGCAAACATTATCCTAACATTTATTTAAAACGTTCTTCTGAACTGATTCATGCACTAACTGTTGATGCTTCTGCTGCTACATCAAGTAATGGTAATGTATATAACTTTACAAGTGATATTGAAGTAGAGTATGGAGATATATTAGTAATCAATGCAACCACTAATAGTAATCCAATGTATTATCAACAATACAATGGACCATTGAATTATGAGCTTGATAGCAGTAATGGATTAATGCCACTGGAACGCAATGACTATCCACTGATATCAGTTATAATAAGTGAGTGCATCTTTAAATTATTACATTTATGGCTTTTATTATATACCCAATTTCTTCAGATCCTTCTACGGCTATAACTACCATATTACAACCCTCCTCCACTGTAATGACACATAGCAACATTCCAACCAGTTTGTGTGACACTGCCTTATTGGGCAACACTGCCTCAGTTAATCTCATTACTACTTCTTCATCATTATGTATTACTGATTCATCTGTCACAAGAAGTAGTGGACCAACAGTTGGTAATACTGGAAATGGTAATGCAGCTTCAGTGATAGCTGCTGTCGTTACTATAGTATTAGTATTACTGGTAACTAGTATCATAGTGATATTAATATTGATAGTAATAGTATATAAAAGAAGAAACAAAGCAACGCATATTCCTGAAGGTCGTGATGCTTTTCTTGCTAGTTCTGTTTATTCTGATGTCACTCCAAATGGAAAGGGAGAAAATGAAATACATAATATGTGTAATCCAAATTACCAAGCAAAAGGTACAATAAAAATTATTACATATTATTTTTCATGCATAATTACTATTATTTAATGAGCATGCACACTGGTTAATTTATATTTGCTCTAGACAAACATAGAAATCATTCTATCTCTTTATAAACTTTCTATTTTCTTCCCTTATAAACAGGTGCAGCTGATGTTTATGAAGTGCCAATGCCATTGATGAAAGGAATAGAAGCAGTTTACAGTGATGCAATGACTGATGTCAGTAATCCAAATTATGAAGATCCCAATGAAAAAAGTACACCATGTTTTAATGGAATGAGTAACCGATTATATTTATTTAGGTAGTGTTCCATTATTGTATGAAGAACCAATAGCGACTCTAACTAAAAAGCAAAATGTAATCATTATTTTATTATGTGTAGCCATTTCATGCATGCACAGTGGAATGAAGGATAATAAACATGATTTTAAACAACATTTATATGCATGATATAACATTCAGCAATTTTAGAACATGAGTAACGTAAACGTCACATGATTAACAAACACTTTTCAGTTTATATTTTGTGTTTTCCTAACAGGATACTGAATTTTCTATCGAACTGTATGGACTATTGGAAGAAGCAACACTATATGTACCCACTGCAGTATGTACTGAATATATTTTAATAATTATGTTTTAATTAATGTTGTTAATAGTTAGAACGTTCTGGAGAACAAAGTGAAGAAATTTATTCTGCACTGATACATGAACAGGTATTGACTGTGTCATGTAATTATAGTAATTATAATTTATATTTTTATGGCCTAGCATTCATCTGCAAATTCAAGACTTGATCATACTGGTGGTAATGCATTCTTTATAGAAGATACTGAGTACTGGGAACCTGATAGTAATACTGATGGTATATACCAACAATTATCTGATAGGAAATACAGAGAAATTATAAGACACCAAATAAAGTAAGAGACACTAAAAGTGTAAGCTATTGATGCCTATGGCTAATTTAATACTGTGTAAGCAAGCCCATACAAATATGTGT